CAAGCCTGGGAGGATCTGGCAGGAAGGCCTACAGAGCAGGCTATAACTTGGCATTGCCAGAGCCAGGAGAGGTTCTGAGCTCAATGCCGATACCAACCTCTTCCCTCAGAAGACCAGCTAAAATGGTGAAGGACACTGCTCTAGGTCTTAGGTCACCTTTGTCCCTGAGACAACTGACCCAAGAGGTTCAGAACATAAGGCTCCAGCTGTGTTGCTCAGGGCTCATCACAGGCAAGATCCTGGAAACTTCCCCCGCCCCCCAGTCTGACACCTTCTGTTTACTGGGACATGGCACATCAGCAGAGGCAGGCAGATCTGGATGTGGAGGCAAGGACAATGAGGCTGTGGAAGGACGGTCAGGGCCCCGGTGCAGCCAAGGCAAACCTACTGGAGTTTTATGAAAACATGGTTGGGTAAATCTGGGTAAAGAATTTGAGTTTCATGTTGGGCAAATTGGTATGAGGGGTTGCCTCAGTGAAGGTCACTGGGAGCTGAGAAACTTAAGCTCCCAAAGTCCTTAAGGGAAGGCGGCCCCAGTACCACCATGCCTTCATCCAGATGAGGGAAATAGTATGGACCATCCATCCATCCATCCATCCATCCAACACTCAGGACAAAAAAGAGAGACAGGGGTGGGTCTGGGCTCCGGCCTCCCAGATAACCCCATCTTCATCTGCAAGGAGCACCAAGGTTGCTTCAGTTTCAGCAGGAGTCTAAGGGGTCCTGGGCATGGAGAGAGGACAGGATGGGCAGGAGGGCTTATGCTGCCAGCCTGAGCGTGTGTGTGTGTGTGTGTGTGTGTGTGTGTGGTGTGGGGGCAGGGAGGCTGTCCATCAAAACCAGCTTCTCTCACATTCTTCTAAAAACATGCCCATGACTGCCTCCCCCTCTTTGAAGGGACAGATGTCGGGGGAAAAAGCTGATTATTGTCAAAGGCTGGAGGCTGTGACCGGAGTGCTCGGTGAGCGTGACCCAATTCTGAGCTATTCTCAGCCTGGTGGGAGCCAAGTTATTCCCTCCCGCTAAAGATCCCGCCTTGGAGGCAGCCTGACTTTGAAACGCCCTCGTCCTGGCAACAGACTCAAAGCAGGCTGGCCAGGCTACTCTTCATGGACATGGCCCTCCTTGCTGGGGACCCCTATGCAAAGCCCATAGGCTTTGCAGCCTGCGCACAGGCTGCTGGCTTCTGCAGCTACATCCCAAAGCTGGGAAAGGGTAGAAAGGACTTGTTCCTTTATCTCCCTAAATTGGTGACCTGCTGTTCCCCCAGGATATTCCCTCCCTCCCTCCCTCCCTCCCTCCCTCCCTCCCTCCTCCAGGCCAGGCATAAGCTATGCTTCAACCAGTGACTAGTGAAGTATCTCTGGACACAATGAGACCAAAGGCTTTGATGGCCCCAGTGCGGCTGGGCTGGGACTTGCTGTACCTCGTGATGCTGGCATAAGTCCCAGCAGGAGAGGCAGCCAGCAGCAGCAAGCTGACATCCGCTCTGCTCTGCCCCAAGTCTCAAGAGCAGGTCTGTCTGCTGTTCTCACTCCTTTGGGGTTACATGTTACCCTGCATGTCCATAGCAGCAGCTAATGAGTACACCACCTGGGAACCTGTAGAGGTCAAGAGCGAGGAAGTTGCCAGGTGGTGGGTCCTGTCTTTAATCCCAGCACTTGGGAGACAGAGGCAGGCGGATCTCAATAAATTTGAGGCCTGGTCTACAGAGCAAATTCCAGGACAGCCAGGACTGTTATACAGAGAAACCCTGTCTCAGAAAGCAAAACAGAGAGAGAGAGAGAGAGAGAGAGAGAGAGAGGAATCTGTCTGCTCACGCCCAGGCAGAACTAGTCAGCTTCAACACACAAGAAAGCACAGCAACGCCCTGACTTTCTCTGCCATGGTCCTCATGACTCAGGGGCCCAGAAACGCAAAGACCACGGCAGAGCGCCTGCAAGGGCTGTTCTGCTGTCTGGAGCACAAAGGCACATCTCGGATGGACCAGAGATGGAACCAAATTCTGGCCTTAGATTCTGAAACAGACAAGAGAGGGCTGAGGTGGAGACAGCTCCATTGCTACAGCATGTCTCAAGCTGAACGCTCAGAACCAATGGGGAACCGACAGGTGTGGTGACAAGTTTATAATCCCACTGCTGGAGAGGATACATGGGTTCCTGGCCAGCCAGTTTCACCTAATTGGTGAGCTCCAGATCAATGAGACACTATCTTAAAGGAGGCAGGTGGCATTCCCAAAGATACCCGTGGCTGTTCTCTGGCTTTCACACATGCATGCACACATGTTCACATGCTTACAAGCACACACACATTTTTTATTGCCTATTTATTTTTTGCGGGGGAGGGGGACAGGGATGCTTGTATGTCCCATAGGGCACATGTGGAAGTCAGATGGTTCTCTGGTTCTCTCCGTGCACCAATGTGGGTCCCAGAGACTGAAATATGCTTAGCAAGTTTGGTGGCAGGAGCCTGCTTTTACCTGCTGAGCCATCTTGCCACCCCCACCCACCACAGGAGGGCTTCTAGGAGCAGGCAGCATAATCACAACAGCATTTTGCAAGCCGACTGTTCCAACCATTGACATGACACACTCTCAATAAGCCACAAGGCTGTCACTGTCTCATCCCCACAGGGAGGTGACTCACCACCAACCTGAGGGGCATATCCAGAGACTGAGCACACCCCCGTCCTGCATGCCTAAGGGCTGCCGGGTCAACTCTATAAACCTGCGGTCTCTTCCTTGGGACCCACATAGCAGAGTCGAGCCTTTCCTTTCCTCTGCTGCTCACGTCTCCCACACTGTGTGCCTGGTTCAAGCATGGCCAGCTGTGAAGTAAAACTCCTCACCGCTGTGGGTACAGAGCTGGGGACATTGGGCACTGACCTCTCTCAGATGCTCCTGTGGCCTCAGGAGCTCAGGCCTGAGGGAGGCCCCTCCTTAAGGAGTCTCTTAGTCAACTGACCAAGCAAGAGCAGCCTAGGCTGGCCCGAATTCCACAAGTGTTCACTACCCATCTGCTTTGGCCTCTGATGTACAAGCTGGGTAGTCTTGCTTCCCCACCTGTGTAGCATTGCAGTGGCGGGCAGGGAGAACTCCTTGGTGCTGGGGTACCCTGGCAATCTGCCTGTTCCCAGGACACAGACCAGGCTGAGGCAGGAAGAGTCGACAGTTCAGAGGTCAGAAGGAGAAGAGAGGGCACAGCAAGGGCAGGTTCCAGGAGACTGAGACAATGTAAGAGGCAGAGGTGTCCCCTGAACCCTTGTACCACCCACTCCTCATCCGGAGACCCAACACTAGATGCCAGAGCCATTGCTGGAAACCTCTCAGAGGGCAGCACATCTTGAGGCCCAAGCATAGCTTACAGGAGGCCAAAAAGGAGGTGTACCCCTTCGGAGAAGCTGACTGTCCTGGCCAGGAGCGCCCAGCAAGTGAACAGGATCTGCACCTAGGCATGCATCCACGGCCCCCAGGGTTGGCGCTCTAAGTCAGGCTCCTGCCAAGAGTGCAGGAGGCTGTGACCCAGGAAAAGGTCTAAGGGAGATTGAGGGCCAGAGACAGGAGTCAGGCTGGATGGGGAGTTTCTATGGTTTTGCCTGTGTCAGGTGACCACCCAGGATGGGCTAACAGGATTCACCCAACCATGGGAGTCCGACTCAGCCTGTAGGACCTGGGGACCTTCGTCTTGGGGATTTCCATGCTAGACAACCCTTAGCAAACCAGCATAGGGTGTAAGGCAAAGGATGGCTGAGCTGAATGTTCCTGGTTGAGAGTGAGCAGGTCTGGGAAAGCAACCAAGAAGGGATGATTTGAGACGGCTCAGTGCTTAAGAGCACTGACTGTTCTTCCAGAGGACCCGGGTTCAATTCCCAGCAACCACATGACAGCTAACAGCTGACTATAATTCCAAGATCTGACAACCTCACACAGGCACATAAATAAATAAATAAATAAATAAATAAATAAATAAATAAATAAGGGATGATTTGCTGAGCAGTGGTGATGCCCACCTTTAATTCTAGCACTCAGGAGGCAGAGACAGGCAGGTCTCTGATCTTAAGGTCACTGTGGTCTACAGAGCAAGTTCCAGGCCAATTAGGGTTACAATGGGAAACCCTGCTCAAACAAATGAGGGAGATTTGAGCAGAGCCTGAGGTACGAAGTTCAGAGCGAAGTTCTGTACCAGCTGGAGCTCCAGTCTGAGCTGACGTGAACTGGAGTTGGGTTAGTCCTTCCAAGGCCCACAAACTACAAAAGCAGAATTTGGTTAGCCCACGGGGCAGTAGGTAGATTGGGTTTTTCCAGCCTTGGCAACAGTTCCTCACCCAGGCCTTGTGAATTCCACAGGGAAAAAAGATATCCTGGGCCTTGCTGGCTACTGGCCTATGTGTTCCATAACCGAGCGGAGAATGCGGGGCCAGGCAGGGTGAGTGGGTGCCAAGAGTGCACAGCTTACAACCTTTTAGGAACTCCTGGCACTGAAGTGACATGGTCCAGGGACCTCTCTCACATCCTCCAGGCTAGGCATTACGTTAAAGCCGAGACCAGGCCCTGGAGGGAGGGATAAGCCCCTTGGAGCAAGGCTAGTGGTCCAAGGGACCCTGAACATCCCTGAGGGTACATATGCCTCCCAAGCCATGAAATTTCCATCCATAGGTGACCTACAATTGCACAGGGAATGGGCAGCCTAGAAAGTCAGCACTAGGAACGTTGAGTTAGGTCCTTCAGGGAATGTGGGAAGGGACGTGGAACAAGAGCTACAGACGGAAGCCTGGTGTCGAGCCACAGAGGCCCGGTACTCCACCTCCAGGGCCAGGAGGCCGTTTCTGCAGGGGGTGGAGGTGATCATACTTGTGCCTTTGTGAAGAGTCCTGGACTGATGTCCTAGAGCTTGGACAGAATCCTCAGAACAGAGAGGAAGGACAGAGGTCAGATGCCAAGTGTGGCCTGGGTACCAGTCGAAGGCCAGCCCCTTTGGCAGGCAGAGGAACAGTCAACGCGGTAGGGGGTAAGACAGAACATTTATTGCTCCACTAGGTATGCTCAGGGGCCAACAGGACACAGACAATTCTCCCAATGGCTGATTCCATGCACCAGCAGCAGATGCAGGGCAGCCCCACACCAGGTATGTGTACCAGACTCAAGGTGACATGTGTAGCAGGACCACAGCCAGAGCTCCTAGGCCATGCGCTACCTATTCCATGGCTCCTCTCTGACCCTCGCTCCAGTGTGGGCTTGAGAGATCACTGGAGACATAGACCCGCCTACTGGACTCCCTTTGCACAGGACGAGTCTAGTTCCAGAACACATCAGGGATCCTGGGCACAAGTGTGCTCACACGTGGCCCACGCAGCACTCAAGACAATGGGATCACCTCCTTGGATCCCCACGCCAGCCTGGCTCTAGCCCCAGGGATACAGAGAAGATAAGGGCAGGGCCAGGCTTTCTGGGTTAGCTCAACCACAGCTTTTGGCTAAGCGCTGGATCACCAGTGGTTAGAGTCTTTACCACGGAAGGGACAGTTCACTGTCCCTGTAGGTCAGTCCAGGCTTCAAGCAGTGCCCAGGGCTTCCTCTGCCCTCAGCTTGTACCATCTGGTCTCAACAACCAGGAGAGCCTCTGGCAGAGGGGACTCCATGTGGACAACAAAGAACAACCAGGACAGAGCCTGGGGGGAGCAGTGATGGGGTGGAGCTTCCCTCTCAGACGGCAATGCCTCCCTCCTGAACAGGGCCAGCCTACTCACCCCCCTCAACTTACCCAGGAGGCCCCTGCCCCCCACCCTGCCAACTATTTCTAAACACAAGCCTCACAGGCAGTGGCTGACCATATAAGGCAGCCTCTGGCCTCCTTGCTTGCTCGTGGTATTCCTGCCCAGGCCTACTAGCCTGGAGTCTTGGTGGCGAAAGTCAGGTAGCCAGTGTGGCCCACAGTCTCCTTCATGGGTGTGCCGCTACGGAAGGGGCTGGCATCAGAGCCCACGCTGACCTCTGAGTCGCTGGCTCCCAGGTCAGGCAAGGGCAGACTGATGGTGCGCACATTGTAGACCTGCGGCAGCACCTCCAGGGTGCTGAGCTCGGTGAAGCCTCGGGCTGCCAGTGCCTGGCACGTGCGTTGCACCTGCTCGATGCATGGGGAGAAGGAGCAGAAGCGCCCACCTGCAGGAGCAAGACACGGGGTCAGAGGGCAGGGTCAGTGGCGTCCACAACCCACCCTGGACCTTAGGCTGGCTCAGGACTGCCTGCAGACTGTAAGCCCTCAGACCAAGGAACTATGCAGGGGCCTGAGGAAGCTGTAGAGCTGTGCCCTATCTGCTGGCCCATGTGGGGGCAGGGGCAGGAGCCCAGGTCAGCAGCCAGGACTAAGCCTAAGATGCCTGGGTTTCCCTGGCTGCCAGCAGGCATCGCCAGCCTGCCTTGTAGGAGTCAGTGGAGGGTTGGGGGTCAGGGCTGTCAGAGTCAGGCCCAAGAATAGCTCTAACAATAGGGTAGCATAGGGCGGTGTGTGGGCTGCTGCTGTCACAGGAAATTAGAGGCTGTCATTGGCTCTTGGGAACAGGAGGAGCTTAAAGAGAGCACAGTCTGAGCTCCTCCCTGCTGCCTCCCACTGGGGCAGCCCACAGGCTTCACTCAGCCTGCCCAGAGACTGTGAGACACTCTATCTGTATCTTGGCAGGGGATCATGAGCAAGTCAGGGCAGGGAAGGAGTGTGTACAGATGTCCCTGGGCCTGATACCCACAGTGCTCCCTGACACAGGACACCTGGTAGGTATGAAGTAGTCCCCTACTGAGCCTGATGTCAGCACAGAGAGCAGAAGCCACCAGAGAGAGGCAGTGCTATAAACACCAGGCATACAGAAAAGGTATGGAGATCTGGGAAAGAGCCCAGAAGAAGGGGATATGGGACAAGACCCAGGACACAGGCACAGGTGCCTCTGGCCTACTCTGTGGAGGCTCATCTGCCTGGTTTGGACCCTGCATCAGGGTCCTTAAGGTGTGGACCTCCAGGCTTCCCCTCCCAGCTCCAGGCCACCTTGGCAGACACAGGGATCTGGGCAGTGCCTGTCTCTGAGGCTCCCCCACCCTCTGCAAGGAGCCTGGAGGCAAGCAGGCCCAGCTGCCAAGCCTGCTTCTTCTCCAGAAAAGGCAAATCCCTGGGACTCACCAGCAGTCTCTCTGGCCCAGGGCCGACCTTCTCCAGGCCTCCCCTTTGCTCCACCTCCACAGCATCTTCCCTAAAAGGGTCCAGCTGCCTGGCTCTGCAGCATGGGTGTGGGGAGTCTGCAGGAGATGGCTGGGGGCAGGGGACTGCCTATGACCTCCATATTAGATCCAGGCCTGGAGTCCTGTCATGTAGATCCTACCTGCACTGGAGTTGCCAGGGCCTGGGACTCAGTGAGTTCCTATCTAGGCTGAAGAATGGGACCCATCTTTCCCTAACCCTGGTCTCTAGCCAGCCCAAGTCAGTCCTCACATTGGGCCAAAAGGAGCCTTGGTCTGGCCATTGCTACTGTGTGGCCTACAGGAACCTGGAACTCCCTGGGTTCTAGATGACTCAGAAGCTCAGCACCCTACCAGCACCCTTATGAACACCACCAACATACCTTCAACCTTGAGGGCATCCCAGGCATGGCCCACAGCTTCCCAGGGTGATGGGATATCCAAGAAGACAGCATCAGCCACATGGATGACACCAAAGCCACTGCGGCACACATCCTGGGTGTGCACAGTCACCCACTGGCTCACGCGATGCTCCTGGAACTCCTCCCGGGCCTTGTCGGCCCGCTGCTGGTGGAACTCCACTGTGTGTAGGTGGCCAGTGGGGGCGATGCTGCGGATGATGGCATGGGAGACAGAACCACTGCCCGTGCCTGGCAGGACAAGACGAGAGGATTGACGGGTCATCTGAGGACTATACCCACCCACAACAGCTCCCTGACTGGGAGGAAGAAGGTCAAACAGGCATAAGAGGACAGCTGCCCCCAGGGTCAGAGGGGGGATCAAATCATGAGTTCTAGTTCTGTCTGCTCTTGGCAGCCTTGGCCCTGGGTTTGGGATACTGGGTTGTGTAGAATGGGCACAGGAGAGGACAGGGGCAGCCCTACCTAGTGCATACACAGAACAAGTCTGAAGCATGAACTCTGGGGCGGACATAGGTGAGTCTGGGCAGGGCTAGTGCTGGCCTGTCCCATCCTGACCTAGCCTCTTCTAAACTGTGGCTAATCCATGAGCCTCACCGACAGCCGTTCCTCCTGTTTTCTACCTCCTCCCATGAGCTCCTTGACTCACTCAGGTCAGTGGTCAGCTCACCCTCCTCACACCTCCAACCCTGCTAAATCCACCCGCACTGCACAGGGGCAATTCTACCTGCTCTTGCTTGAGCTCACGTGATCTAGATATCTAAAGTCAACCCGCTCCACCCTTCCCATAATGTCACGAGTCTGTCCAAAAGCCTCTACTCTTCCTTAGAAGCAGGGCTACCCTTCTTCACCTGACTTCATATACTCCAGGACCTGGGCTAGCCTGTCTCCGCTCACCCTGTAACTGCCCCTTCCTGCTTGGTGACCATTTCTAGCAGTATACCCTCTTGACCCCGCTGTAGCAGTGCTCTTACAAAGCCCCCAAACCTAAGCCGGACAGTGTGGCACAAGCCTTTAATCCCAGCACTCGGGAGGCAGAGGAACTGCCAGCCTGGTATACAAGAGCTAGTTCCAGGACAGTCAAGGCTACACAGAGAAACCCTATCTCAAAAAACCATAAAACAAAACAAAACAAAAAACAAAAATAAAAAACCCTAAGCTCAAAGTTGGACCCCATCCAAGTCTGATCTCTCCAAGACCAGGAAGTGACACCCACCGCAGGGGCCAGACTGGTCAGTCACCCACCATCAAGACCCACTCTGCCATCCCACCTCCAGTCACCAGCGATTCCTTCTCCCGCCTCTGGGCTTCACCCACCAGGCCCCTCCCTCTTTGCTATCTGCAGATACTGGCCCTGCCTCTGTTCTTTTTGTTTGTTTCTTTGCTTTTTGTTTTTTTGAGACAGAGTTTCTCTGTGTAATATGTGCTCTGGAACTCCCTTTGTAGACCAGGCTGACCTCAAACTCATGAGATCCTCCTGCTTCTACCTCTCAAGAGCTGGGCCTAAAGGCATACACTACCACCACTACCACCCGGAACCTCTGTTCTTTTTACCACTGTCAATCAGATCTATGCTTTGCACAGTGGTCGGGCTTACCTTCCCATTAAAGGGCGACTACAGACTCCTAACAGCCCTCTGAAGGGCCCCCTCTTGCCTCCCAACCTCATCTTCTGTTCCTCTGCCCCTACTTCATGTCCCAGCCAGTGGCCTTTTTGCCAATGCACACCAGTACTGCATCCCACTTTGAGGCATTTGTACAACTTTTCTTTGGCTTTTGGTCGCACTTTATCATTTTTAACTCAAAGGTCACCTTCTCAGATCCTCAACTTTCTGAGTTTGGGGAATCCCACTAAGTCATCCTCAACCAAGCATCCCCAGTTATAAGCCTCTCACAATCAGCACTGAATGGTCGCCAGGCTCACTGCCTATTTTGTCTTTTTGAGGGCAGGAACTTGGTACCACACGGGAGCAGAGGAGTGTGTTGACTGAAAAGGGGTGAGGGCCGGAGAGAGGATAGTGCCTACTACAGGACATGCAGAGAGTTGTTAGGGCTGGCTCTCAACTCTGCTGTCCACTGTCTCCCTCTGCAGGGAGAGAATGCCAGGATAGGGAGAACGGGAACTATAGTGACCCCGAACCCGTTTCCTAGCCCACCACAAACACACCAAGGATCTAGTCACATCTGGTCCAGGACTCATCCTTGTGGAAGACTCATGTCTAGATTGCTGCACGCAGTGGCCACAGCACGTAGGGGTGTATGTGAGAGACAGCTGGCTCTCATGCACTGCTACCACCCACCCCGTCCTTGTCTCGGTGACAGTGTTGATAATCTTCACTGGAACTAGGTGAAGGGCTGAGGGCGAGTGAGTGGGGGACAGAATTTTCACAGAGCTCTTGGGATAATCAGCCTCCTTCCAGGAAGGCGGGCAGGGAGATGAGCAGTCAGCACCTTGGCCAGCACCAAACAAGCCTGCCGACACATCAAAGCAAGCCAGGACCCTCAGAGGGCACTGCTGCCTCCTCTTCTTCCTCCTCCAACCCAGGCCAGTCCCCATCAGATGTCATTTCACTCCCTGCAGTCACACCCTCCCCACCAAGTGGAGTTGCTACAAAAAAACCCAAGTAATTTGGCACACATCTGCAAGATGGCCTGGCTGCAAACTAGCTTCCTCCCACCCCTCTTCCAGATCCAGGATTTCTCTGTGTAACGGCCCTGGCTGTCCTGGAACTTGCTTTGTAGACCAAGCTGGCCTCGAACTCACAGAGATTCCACCTGCCCTTGCCTCCTGAGTGCTGGGATTAAAGACGTGTGTCACCACCGCCTGGCTGACTGCAAACTATCTTAACTATGGGTCTGACTCCCACCTTATGTAGGAGCTCACCTGATTCACAGACCACAGAACCGGGTCGCAGCTCCAGCATCATGGTGAGTAAGGCAATGTCGGTGGAGTAGAGGATCTGTGTGCGGTGGGGCAGGTTCACTGTCCAGAGCTCAGGAGTGGGGTGAAGCACATATACCCAGCCGCCTCTGCTGCAGATCACCTTGGAGCCAAATGGGCGGCCAATGAGGTCCACTGAGTGCCGCAGAACGCCATGCCGGGTCTGGGTCTGTGCCCCACGCTGCACACGTACTGCCATCATTGAGCCATGGCCCAGTGACAAGATGGCTGTGTCGCCTTCCTTGATCAGCTCCTCGTATGCCACGAAGCTCATGGTGTTAACATCTGCCAAGTGTCAGGGACCTGGGGAAGTGGTGTGTGGGCGTGAGGCGTGAAGTCAGAAGACCAGGAGGTAGGATGAGGATCTGTGGTTTGGGTAGAGGTCTGTGGGGCCCGAGTTCTGAGCAGTATGGGTAGTTGACTTGATCGGACAACCCAACAGAGATGCACCTTAGCCAGACATATGCAGCCCTTCTAGGTCTGGAAGTGTACAATAGTAGAGGCCCAAGGATTCCCACACCAGAAGGACCAGAACAAAGTCCTCATTCCTCGGCTGTGAAGACGGTGGCCTCCGAGAGGCGTGCAAAGCGCGAGGGCGAAGTCACCTCCAAGCCAGGATTCCGTGGAACCCTCTGACCAGAGTACCCCGAGCGGGCTTCTGACGGCCCGGACGTTTCTCTGCAAGGGACCTGCAGGCAGGCCCGGAGCGCCGCTCCCACCCTAGCCGCGTACGCCAGCTCCGAAACTCACCCAGTTTACACCGGCTCTCTGCTCCACACGTGGCTCCCCAGTGGCAGCCACACTTCCGGCGCTTCTTTGATGACGTCAATAACACCGCAGAGATTGCTGGGAGCCTCTGCTCTGTCCTTTGAGCGCTCCCAGAGGATGCTTCCTGGCTGGCGCCTCTGGGCCCGTGGTCTTATGTGAATACTTGCGCGTTGCCTAAGAGATCCGAGCACTGTACAAAATAAAAGTCCTCTCCTCGCCAGCGGTTTGTCTGCGTGCCGTCTTTTAGGGTTGCCCAGAGCATGGAGCTTCTGCCCGCTGGATATCCCTGCCCCTAAAGTGTATTTTGACAACTGTGTAACACCAGGGCTTCCTTATTAGAGCCCACCAGAACATTTCGTCATTGCAAACAGCTCCGAAATACCCTGCCTGGAGCCGAGGATGAATCTTAGAAGAAAGTGGAACCGGAGAGCAGCGGTGGGGCACCCAGAGACTTTGGCCAGGGCCAGACCAAGTATAAGGAGCAGGGGTAGTCTGGGGCATTCCGCAAAAGTGGCCCTGCTATCCCTGGCTTCTTGAGAACTGGATGAACTGGGCTCACGCGTGGCCTGGGGGAGGAGCTGTTGGAGACCAGGCGGAAAGGGGAAGCTGTAGGAGTGTTTTGTCTCAGTAGAGCTGAATCAGAGCCCCCGTGGGCTTCTCGTGGAAAGGTTCTTCCCCGGAGTGGAGCATGAAGTGGAGAGGGGAGAGCGCTGGGGTGGGGAGTGAAGAGCTTTCCTGCGGTCCTCAGCTACTGGAACTGGAGGACATGAGATTTGAGTTATTCAGAAACAGTAGCAGTGACCAACTCTCGGCTGCACTCTCCAACCACCAGGCTACTATAGCCTGGTAAAGTTTGGGTGGCCCGGCTCCACAAACATGTCCTTTCTAGAGTCCTGCTGGCTAGTGGGACTCCTCTGGGGCCAGACTAGGCCAGCCTGTGTGAAGGAACCCAGGTTCCTGACATTGTACCTCTCCAGGTCTCTGCCCTGGCTGGCCTTGATCTGCTAGCCAGGAGGGATAGGCAATGAGGGTTTCTTGGTCTTCCAGGCTGGGAAGGCACAGCCTTTAGCTGAGACATCCCAGCCTTTGGCTCCACAGTCCCTGTTCTAGTAGGCTACTTCACTCCCTGATGGTGCACAGCCCAATCCACACCCTAATTGCTCCTCTGGAGAGTTAGACTTTCCACTTCTCCTTGGAGGTTCCTCTTCCCCAGTCTCTCAGCGGCCTGGAGACCAGGGCTGACTATGTCTCTAAATGAGCTCAACAGGGGTTTTCCCTTGGTCCCAGCTGTCCACTGCTGCATCCCTGTCCCTCCTGTGTCCCTTCTCCAGTCCACCTTCTCAGAGCTAGCTATTGTCATGCCTAGCTTCAGCCTGGAGTTTTCAAGGTGGTGCACACCTTTAATCCCAGCACTTGGGAGGCAGAGGCAGGCAGGTCTCTGTGAGTTCAAAGCCAGCCTGGTCTACAAAAGCTAGGTGCAGGACAGGCTCCAAAGCTACAGAGAAACCCTGTCTCAAAAAAGAAACAACAACAAGAAAAAAAACCATAAAAACAAACAAAAAGGAGTTCCCTCTGACTGGCATAGCCTCCTGTTTCACTGTGCCCTGCAGCCTCCGCCCCTCTCTTTACCCTTGCCAACTTCCCCTTTGCATTCCACGAGATAGGAAGCAGCGAAGCAGCAATGCACCCTGGGCACAGGACTGAGAGTGGCCTCTATGTGGAACCTAGAGCCTGACCCTGTCTGTGCCTGTACTTGCCCTGCTGGGCTGGACGATGCTCTGTGAAGAAAATACCTGGGACTCCTTTGAGGCCCCATCCAGGCCCTGAGGTTAATGTATGACTTAGTGTGATTTCTAAGGAGATGGAACCATAATTCTACTGAGTGATGTCACCAAGCTTCTTGCCCAGAAGCTGCCAGAGTAGCTACTTTGATTGCCAAGGATAGCAGAGGGCCCAGTCGGGTCTAGGCTGGATAAGCAGGCCCTGACCTTTCTCCATTGCTATGAGGGCCTCCAGGACTTCCGAGCAACGCCCCCCAAGTGGGGGGCCTCACACTGATATGTGGTCTAAAGGCTGTGAAGGGCCCTTCGTCTCTCTACCCTGCTGTTGTCTCTGCTGTCTGAACACCAAAGTTAGGCACCCTAGTACCACCGGGTGATATCTGGGCATCTGGGCCAGTACTTCTTTCTCTCAGCAACCAATCTTCCTTTAGGTTTCGGTCTTAGAATGAGACAGAGGCTGAAGGTCACAGGCGCCTGTTCCAGTGCTGGGCGTGGACGGACTTGCAACACCGCCTTCTGTTCCTCACCTTTACTAGAGTCCTGGCCTTGCCCTCACAGGGAGATGGGAGGCGGGAAAGGGAGGAGAGGAGGCCGAGAGAAACTGTAAATGCTGGAGACAAAGAGGAAGTCCTGAACCCCCTACCCCCACTCAAGCCTGGACACCAAGTTTGCTTCCTCTCTATTTCTAGAAACAGACAGAAACTTGAGCACTTGGGGCTCAAGTCGAACCAGCTTCCCTGAGAGGGGTAGGTACTGTGGTTGGCAGCTGCAGATATTTCTGAGAAGGCTGAAAAGGGCATAGAATACAGGAATTAAAAGCTTATGGCACACCTGCTGTCTAGCCTGTGGATTTTTTTTTTTTTTTGAAACAGGAGCTCATGGAGCCCAGGCTGGCTTTGAACTCCTGATCTTCCTGTCTCCACCTCCCATGTGCTGGAATAATAGGTGCTTGCCTCCACATACCTTTTTTTTTGGGGGGGGGGTGTCAAAGTCTCTATGTAATCCTGGCTGTCCTAAAACTCACTATGTAGACTAGGCTGGCCTTAACTTGCAGATAATTCCACCTGCCTCTACTTCCTGAGTGTTGAAATTAAAGGAGCTGGACACCACCATGCCCAGTGCGTACTTTCCTATATGGGGTTGTTTTAATTGGCTTACAAAATAGTGACTTGTCCTGGGCATGGTGGCTCCACCCTATAATACTAGGACTCGGGAGGCTGAGGCAGGAGGAGCCTGATTTACAAGCTCTTGTCTCAAACAGAAGAGGCTGAAACTGGTCAAGGCAAGCGAGAGAACTGGTGGAATCACTAGTTATCTCTGAGGACAGTACAGCTGCGGTTCTTCATGCTGACCCCGGTAGAGGCAGGACGGCTTTCTGCCCTGAGTTCTCTGCTCCACAGCCTTCTGCTGAAGCTCCAGCACATCATCTCTCAAGCCTGGAATTCCTGCCATATCTCCCGTAGTCATTCGCTGAGGGCAGCCCGTCTCCACGTCTCCGGCAGGAAGGCAGAGATCCAATCCCCTTGTGCACCTTCTGTCTTCCTTGCATCTAGCACCTGATCGGATTCTGTCAAATGCACAAGAATGAGAGGCTCTCTAGACTTTTTTTTGGAGACAGGGTTTCTATGTAGCTTTGGAGCCTGTCCTGGAACTAGCTCTTGTAGACCAGGATGGCCTCGAACTCAGAGATTCACCTGTCTGCTTCCCGAGTGCTGGGATTAAAGGTCTGTGCCACCACCACCCAGCGAGGCTCTCTAGTCTTGCTTTATTAGTGCAGCAGTGAGTGAGGGGCGGTGAGAGGACATTAGGCAAGAAAGCTCACCTCTATATTTTACCAACTGAACCACCCGCCATTCTGCACCCTTTTCCACCGATGGCTAGTGCCCTCCCTCGTCAGAGATGAGCATCAGGTCCAACTGGAACTAGTCTTTCCCACTGCACATTTCCTGAGCTATCTGCAGAGAAGGGACACTGTCCTTTCTATTCTGGATTCCTCGAATTCCTGGGATTGCTAGGTCATGGAGTTAGACCATATTTTCATTATAATAAATACTGCCAAATTACTTGCCAGAAAAGATGAAGTGGTTGGCAGCTGCAGGCAGGGTGCGAATGCCTGTCTTCAGAGGAGTTCACAGCCCGCACTGTCTGGGGTCAGCCTTCCACATTTCCTCATACTTGGGTGTGTGAGGCTGGGGAAGAGAGACTGTTTCCGTGTTTTGGTTCTGATTAGTGAGCTTGTTTTTAACTGGTGCTTTCTCCACTCCGTTTGCCTGTCGACTGTGGGTACTGTCTTCGTGGGTGGGGTGGTAGGAACCGGTCTCCTGAGGAAAGGGCCAGGGGATGGAGGTTTGGATTCTCAAGAGCCTCTCACAGCTCAGTGTCTTGAATCTTTCAGGGTCTAAGTCCAAGTGTTTTGGCTCGGTTCCTCAGAGTCTGCCCAAGGTCAGAACACCCTGGGTGCTTCGGGGCTGGACCTCAGCCAGACTGCGCCTCTGGTGCTGCATCAAGAACACCCAAGAGATGCCTGCGGGCACCTTGAGGAAGGTCAGCGGCTCTGAGCCATTTCGTACCGCCTGGATGCATTGGATGGACGCCGTACTTAATGTTCAAGACCTGGAAGCTCTGGATAGGCCCCTTGCCACCGCGGTCTGCCAGACAAGGGAGGAAGAGGGGGGAAGGCAGGAGCCCCAGCACCAGCTGGCTTTCCAGACTCAGTTTCTCGCAACGAGGCAGTGGGTGAAGCAGGTCTACCAAGGATACTTAAGGCCCTGGGGTTCTGCCTTGGGGATACTGCGAGAGCGCCGCGGGGATAACTAAGCTATGCGGGGTCGAGACTCGAGGACCGCTGGGGTGGGCTGCTAGGGGGTGTCAAGGGCTGCTGCCACGGACAAAGCAACGGCACCACCCCAAAGCACGGACCAATAGAATGAATGGGCTATAAATAGCCGCCAATGGGCTGCTGGCGACGCGTCCCTTAAGAGCTCCGGAGCAGCGAGAGGCCGCCGTTTGTCTGTGCTGCGCCTGGAGCTGGTTAGGCACTCTGCATCCCCGATCTGTCCGGCATCCTGGTGAGCAGGTCCAAGGGTCGGGGGTAGCCGCGCGGGGCGCCACGCGGAGGGGTGCGGGACTGGGGTGTCACGCGCAGCCGTGCTGCCGGGAGCGCGCACCGGACCCGCCCCGGACCAGGGATGCACGGGCTCCGGGTGCAGACCCCGCTGACCTTGGCATCGTCCAGGGGAAGCCACGGAGGTCCCGAGCGGTCTGCAGGTCCCTGGAGGCTGGTGTGTAGACCTCCTCTGACCCTGCGCTTTCCTGCAGCCCGTCGCCGCCGCCATGCCCTTCTCCAACAGCCATAATACGCAGAAGCTGCGCTTCCCGGCCGAGGATGAGTTCCCTGATCTGAGCAACCATAACAACCATATGGCCAAGGTGCTGACCCCGGAGCTGTACGCCGAGCTCCGTGCCAAGTGCACGTCAAGCGGCTTCACGTTGGACGACGCCATTCAGACTGGCGTAGACAATCCGGGTATGCACACCCCTGTAGGCGTCAGACTTCCGTCTCCCCAAGAAACCCCAGAGCAAGGGTCCCACTGCCCTTCCCTCAACCTCTGGCGGGCTGGGGTCCCCTCATCCCCTTCCCGCGCTCAGCCGCAGGGGCCTTAGCAGCTCGCTCCAGCCTGGCGGTGACGTCACTGTCGCCGCGCCCCTCCCCCAGGCCACCCGTTCATCATGACGGTGGGTGCGGTGGCGGGCGACGAGGAGACTTACGCCGTGTTCAAGGATCTCTTCGACCCCATCATTGAGGACCGGCACGGCGGCTACCAGCCCAGCGATGAGCACAAGACGGACCTCAACCCAGACAATCTGCAGGTGCGGGGCTGCCGGATCAGGGCGTGATGGGGAGAGGGGCCTCCGCGCTCACTCCCGCCACCACTTTGCGTCCTCAGGGCGGCGATGATCTGGACCCCAACTACGTGCTGAGCTCGCGGGTGCGCACGGGCCGCAGCATCCGTGGCTTCTGTCTCCCCCCGCACTGCAGCCGCGGGGAGCGCCGCGCCATCGAGAAACTGGCAGTAGAAGGTAGGGGTCTGGTATCTGCCCGTGGAGCAGCTGGGACCGAGAGGGTCAAAGGTCCAGTCTCGTGCGCGGGGGGATACACTGTTTGGGGCCGGGCACTTGCCCGCCCACCCGAGCCTTGAACCCTGCACTCTGCAGCCTTGTCTAGCCTGGACGGAGACCTGTCAGGCAAGTACTACGCGCTCAAGAGCATGACCGAAGCGGAGCAACAGCAGCTCATCGACGATCACTTCCTCTTCGATAAGCCTGTGTCGCCTCTGCTGCTGGCCTCCGGCATGGCCCGCGACTGGCCGGATGCTCGCGGTATATGGTACGAGCCCTCCCCCTCTCAGTCCCCCCCGGAGGGTGGAGCCCGGCCTGAGCTCCTGGTTCCGTGCGCAGAGTCACCCCGTCCCAGCCCTTCTCGCAGGTGACCTTGGTCCCGCAGGTGTGTGAGATCCTGCGCTGCGGGAGGCCGCAGTCTCCAGGGATTTAAGGGTTGTGACCAGTCTCTCGGGAGCCGGTGCTGCTTGTTTTTTCTCCTTCTCACCCCCATACCCCGCCGGGATTCTGCCAGGTGCCAGTGACGCAAAAGCCTCCGCACCCGTCCGGGCAGGGCTCCTACTCCTGCTGACTGTGAGGGCGGAGGCATGCCTCCTCCGGGGGGGCTGCTCGGCCTGCTTCAGTCCCTTGCCTGCGCCTGCCACACACCACGTGATTGGTGCCCCGTTCGCCCTGCCTTCCTCCAGTGTTGCTGGGATGGGAGTTTGGCGACAGCCCACACTCCTGTACCTCTCTAGAATAAGCACCTCCGTGACTTGGGAAGCTTTTTGTTTGAGGGTCACCCATACGGTGTCGTTTTGGATGTGATCTAAGACTGTATTCTGGGAGGGATTTTGGCTTGACTGAACCCCTTCCCCAGGCACAATGACAATAAGACTTTCCTGGTGTGGATCAACGAGGAGGACCACCTGCGGGTCATCTCCATGCAGAAAGGGGGCAACATGAAGGAAGTGTTCACCCGATTCTGCACTGGCCTCACCCAGGTCAGGCCTGCTCACTCTAGGGGCTTGGTTCCTGGGAGGGGTTGGGGCATATCCCAGAGTCCATATCTCCCCGCGCTCCCTGGGGCTTCCAGCCAGGTTTCCCCTCTGAACTCTCCCTTCCCCACCTCCAGATTGAAACCCTCTTCAAGTCCAAGAACTACGAGTTCATGTGGAACCCTCACCTGGGCTACATCCTCACGTGCCCATCGAACCTGGGCACTGGCCTGCGGGCAGGTGTGCATATCAAGCTGCCCCACCTGGGCAAGCATGAGAAGTTCTCGGAGGTGCTCAAGCGGCTGCGGCTTCAGAAACGAGGCACAGGTGAGCGGCAGGCAGCACAGGTGAGGGGCAGAAGGTTCAGGTTTCCTCAGTCCTGCTGACCTGTCTTACCCATCCCTAGGCGGTGTGGACACCGCTGCTGTTGGTGGAGTTTTCGATGTCTCCAACTCGGACCGCCTAGGCTTCTCGGAGGTGGAGCTGGTGCAGATGGTGGTGGATGGAGTGAAGTTACTCATTGAGATGGAGCAGAGGCTTGAGCAGGGGCAGCCTATCGATGACCTTATGCCTGCCCAGAAGTGAAGCCTGGCCCTCACCGTCACCAGCCTGCTGCTTCCTAACCTAATACCTGGGCAGTGCCCACCATGCATCCCTGATGTTTGCCGCCTGGCGGCTGAGCCCTTAGCCTCGCTGTAGAGACTTCTGTCGTCCTGGGTAGAGTTTATTTTTTTGATGGCTAAGCTGTTGCTGACACTGAAATAAACTAGGGTTTGGCCTGCCCTATGTCTCATGAGTTGTGCCTCTCCTTTCCTAGGGACAGTGACATGGGTGAGTGGCCTGGCCATTTGTGTCAACTAGAAGATGACTTTATTAGCCATAGAAGATACAGGGTGGAGAGGGAAGGAGGGGGGTGCTCTCTTACGACTTTCAGTTCCAGCCTGAGCATCTAAGGACGCTCCATTTGCAGGGTGGAGCCTAGTCTTTCCTCAGCTCCAGCCAGAGGAGGGAGTCAGAAACTTGACACGCTCCCAGCTCCCAGTTCCTCTCTGCTGTCTTCCCGGCAGCCTGAAAATCCAAAGTTCCACCCCTTGCTTCCTCTGCCCTCTAGGCCCCACCCTTCTCCAACACCTATTCCAGCTCCTAAATAATCTCTTCTCCCCCTACCTCCTCCAGCTTCCATCCTCTTCGGGATGCTCAGTTGCCTCCTCTTGGTCCCTGAGCCCAGCCCTCTAGCCCCATGCAGACTGCAGCAGGGTCCTTCCAGTTCAATCTCTTTTATTTACAGCTTGTTCTCCAGGGCCCCAATGGTTGGGAGGAGACACTCATGCTCCCATTCATCTAGCTTTTGTGCCATGTCATCTAGGAGACAGGACAGTAGGTAGTCAGAGTAACTCTGCTATGAACTATCATGGACAAGTCAAGGGAAAAGGATTCCAAGGCTCACATCAGGGGCCCTGAACAGAAGACTGGGCTGTCTAAGAGTCATCTTCCTGGTGGCCTATCCCAGTTTGGCCTCATGAAGGGATCTGGCCCACATTTGAAAGTGAGAAAGGACATCAACCCAGGGGCTGGAACTATAGTTCCCACCCACACAGTGCCTCTTCCAAGATGAGTCTAGTGCTGCCACCTACTGGTCGCTGTCACTACATGCTTGTCCACTAAAGATCACAGATATTGAAACATGGTCTACCCAGACTCCACAATCTGCAGGTTGGGAGGCAGCACTGAGCTGTGAGCTACAGAGGTGTGTCTTTGTTGCTTCTGTGACCAGGCTCCAGCTATGTCTCATGTAGGTGGTGTGCAGCTGGGGAGGACCCAGTGTGGGTCTTGACCTCTGTGGAATTCTTAATGTCAGACTTAGAAGAGGGCATCCACCTTGTTGTGTAGGCTGGGCGCAGGACAAGGCAGGTCCCCTGGGAGTGCTCCTCTTCTTGGATGTTCTAATTAGTTCCTAGCTAACACTTTTGTCAAGAAGGCTGGGGGCCTAGGTTAGACCAGGACGGAGGCTGGCATCAACTCAGCTTTGATGTCCTCCAGCCAGTGGCTGGCCCAGCTACGTTGCAGGCTTCAGTCTGGTGACAAGAAACGGTCGTTCGACAATCTCCTTGGACAAAGCAGGGAAGGATGCAGGCAGGGACAGTAGGCACAGGGGGACATGTTTGGCCAAAACGCTCCATGTCTGCTGTTACAACCTCAAAAACAACCAAAACAGAATGGCAGGAGGCAGGAACACAGGACCCCTGCAGTGTGGTTCAGCTTCCTATAACTGCCTCAGGCCTACGAAGCTCCCACCTGGAACACTGCCCTTTCTCCTTCCCCTTGAACTTGGAAGACAGACCCTGTCCCACTGGAAGTGGGCACAGCACTGAGCATCCCTCTCCCCACCCAGACCCTAAGGATCCGGAGAACTGCAGTTGGGAACCCAACCCTGTCTATGTAGGCCTCACTGCACATTCAGGAAGGCCCCAGTGAACAGAATTTAGCCTGAAAAGATTTTGAACCTCAGAATTCTCCTGGTATCTGGGCTTTCCTACCCCAAACTCTTCCAACCAGCAGGAGAATTTTGGTGCTTGTGTTCCCTCCGCTCCGTGCTGCATGTTCCACTGTAAGCAGCACTGAAGTTGGGGCTGAAGCAGGGTTTGTACACATACCACTCTTATGGCTCCATCTGCCTGCCTGCGCTCACCAGACCTATGGGATTTCTTACGTAGTCCAAACAGCCCTTCTTTTCCTCTGGATTTGAGAGTCAAATGAATTCAGTGAGCCTGGCTTCGCCCTGCTGAAATGGAACCTGGGGGTGGACGCAAGGAGGAAGGCGCTGTGCTCCTAGGTAGCAGGGGTGGGGCACAGCTCCCTGGGGCACCTGGGTCACACTAAGCATCCTGCACACCTGGGAACACCCTGATTTCTTGCAGGAACAGCCAGAGAAGAATTTCAAGTTTGAGCCACCAGTACTGCTTGGGGTTGTCCTTTGATAGGGGTGAGGAGTGCTCTGTTCACCGAGACTCTTTTAAGAGGGGTTCCTAACCTCCAATCACCCACGGTAGTCGAACCCCTCCCCCAGTCCCTATCTTGGAGCTGAATTTCTAGACACTGACTAGGAAGACTGTGAGCCTACAGAAATAACCAGGAGACACAACTGCTTAGAGCAGGAAAGAACTGGTCAGGGCTGTTTCCCTGCAAAGAGCCCAACCAACCCTACCCCTCCCACTTTGCTCTGGCAAACTTCACACTCACTGGTGTATGGACAGGCTGAGGAAGCAGAGAGGCAAGCTCGGGTTATAAAACAGCTCGTACCGAGATCCCACACAGATTATGTATGGAAAAACCCCCAGAACAGTCGTTGGCTGTGGGTGGTGGGGGAACAGGTGATTTCCTTCTTTATACTTCTTTTTCCAAATTTCCTTCAGTGAACATGCATTGCTTATATAAGGCAATGCTTTTCGCCCTGTTGAGGGTCACACTGGGGGCTTTGCACAAGCTAGATAAAGTGCTCTACCACTGGGTGACACCACCAGCCCTCTGATGACTTTGATGACTGATCCTCTTGCCTCCAGGAGCAGCAGCCGGGATTATGGATGTGCACTACTGCGCCATTTTTGCGGTGCAGTGTTCAGGATTAAACTAAGGGCTTTGTACTAGTTAGAGGTCTGCTGACTGAGCTATTGCCCCAGTCCCACCCCAGTAAAATTGGGAGTATTTTTCTTTTTTCTTCTATTTATATCCTAAGAATTTAATGTGTCACAGTTGGTGGTATTAAAACAGTACCAGGAAGGAATCCACTGCCACCCTATCCTGATGGGGAAACTGAGGCTCAGAAAGCCTCATTCTAGGTCAAGTGGAGCTCAGTTAAGCCTAGTTATGGGCTTATTTCCCCTGCTTTTTAACTTTTGGGGCTTTCAGAACTCTCAGGGGTGGGTCTTGCTTCTCCCAATAGTAGCTTAGAAGGCTGCAATTGCCTGCAGGGTTCCTTACACTGCACTTCTTCCTGACCAGCCTGGTACTTAGCAAGCCTCCCAGGTGTTGCAGGTTAAATCTCTCACCCCACAAGTGAGTGCCAGTCTAAGAAGCAGGGCTTTCTTACCAGCAGGCTGGGACCCACATCTGAGTCAGGCAACTTCCCACTTCACTCCCACACTGCTCTCTGCTTTGCTGAGGACACAGCAAGGGCTATGGCTGGGGCTCACGTCCTGACTCCCACACCTTGTCAGGCAGGTGGATCTGAGTTCCAGGCCTGCCAGGACTCTTAAGTACTGTTGGCTTATGGTACCCTAGTAGGAGGACAATGCTTTGGTCCTTAGCTTGGCTAGGTGCTAAGACTGACATTCAAGCAGCCACGTTGGGATGCAAGTATAAAGCACGCACATGGCAGGTGGGATCCTGATTGCACCACCTAGTCACTAGGTCCTAGCTGGAACTTGTATGGTGCCTAACCACTCCAGGGAAAGAGATCAACTGGGACCGCGGTCCAGCGCTCTCAACAGCAGCCTCACTGCAGAGCAGACCAGGCCTTGGGTCACTGGGGTTGGAATGTGAATGGAATGGAGGCAGACCTGACTCTGGGTGGCCCCAGGCCTATCTACACTTAAATGACTCACTAGGTTGGGCTGATGGTGTCAGACTGTTCAGTGGCTTTGCGTCTACCTCACAGCAGGGCTCCATTTTGCATATTCTACCGGGCTTATACCAGCAAAGTCGTCCTGCTCCAGTGCATTCTGAAGTTGCCTCACTGTTTCCTTTAGCTTGTGTGCTTGGTCACTTCCTTTTCCTCCTGCTGACCATGCCAAGGTTCTTCCAAAACAAATCCATTGAAAGTGAAGTCTAGTTCTGAAAAATGCCTCCACCTACTCAGCAGCCCTGTGCATGTGGAGGGGGCTCGGATGAACCAGATGTCCCATCCAGACCTGGAGCTGTGGACTCTGGCCTGACAGGGACCACCTGTACTGCTGCCTGAGCGAGAGGCCTCACCTCTTCCTCAATCGTGGAGAGAAGGGACCAGGCGCTGCTTTTCTCTGGCCTCCAGTCAAGGATGACATGACTTTGCTTCTTTAATAGAGTCTCAGTGTTTGCTTAAGTCATTAGTGACATTCCACTCTGTAAAGCAACCCTGTAAAATGTGTGGTACACTTCCTGCCACCAGGACAAAAGGACATGCAGCCAGGTACAGGCCCAGAACGCCAAGGTAGTCTGAAATGGGCCTCCTGAGGTTGGAAGGACTGCTCTGAGGCTCCTCTACCTAGGACTTCTGGGACTGTGCCAATGAAAATAACTATCTGCTGCTTCCATGACTGCTTTGAGAATGTGTCTGCATGGCCCACGCCTGCTGGCAGCTCCTTCAAGGAGGCAAGCCAGTGCAAATCTTGCTTTAGAAGGCGTGGCAGTCAGGCTGCACGTCAGACCTTTCTTCCAGATCTCTGGAGCCAGTCATCCCCTACAGTGAGGTCTGGCTTTGTCTGGGAATGGCACACATATTCCCCAAGGTCACTCCGTGGTGAAGTACTGAGGATGGAGTACCCTAAGAAGTGCATTGTCTCTGAGCCGCCCTCCCACCTACTGCTCCTCCCTCTCGCGCTGCACTCACTGTGCCTGTCATCTCTGCCTTTGTCCCACTGGTGCTGCCCTTTGGCCTCCTACCTGGACACTGAGCTTCTCAACAATAGGGGAGTCTACACCTTGTCCATTTTTGCATCTCTAGGATCAGCACAAGATATTCCAAAGTAGCTCCCCTCCCCCAAATCAACAGAGGTATATCATGTGACTGGCAAAGGGCCCGGAGGAGCAGTTAACCAACAG